ACCTATTTTGTTGAGGGGTCTGTAATTCTTATGCAATATAGAGAGCCACGTGTAGCTAGTCTACTAATACAGCTTTAGACAAAGGCGATTATGACAGGATGGGGGGATTGATTTGTGGTAAAAATAACTCTAGCTTCGAGATCCGCACTCCCCGAGACAGATAGTTCCTAGGTTGCATCCGACTCGAAAAGCAAACAGTTTCTATCAATACTGTTATATACTTGGATCGTATGAGAAGTCTTTTGCCCCCTTAAGCCGGGACAGCATCAAGGAGTCCATGAGGAATCTTGCAGAGAAGTTGAATGAACCGATGACAGTATCCAAACAAGACTGTGCCAAGTACTTCATGCACACAATGTCCACGGGGGAAGGGAAGGAAGCTTGCCCGAGGACTTCACACGATTCGACACACTGGCATCGCCCTAAATCCATAAGCAGACTATCGACCGGTGTCCTTGACCATAGCTCCGAAGAAGTCTCGTTAGAAAACGTGACAGAGGAGCTTCGGACCAAGTACGTACGTAGAGCACGCCTCTTATGTACATTAATGTATAGTAAACCTGTGCACCCGACCACGTCATTCACCCCGTCAACCAAGTGCAGTACTCGGGTTGAGAAGCTAGGCTACGCACCGAGCAACGCAGGCTACGATGCGCGCCAGAGTGAGCCCAGCGCGCTCCAACGACAATATGTGGCCGTGTGAAGTTTGTCCATGAGTCGAAGAGAAGAGAGGCATCACCTCAACACGATCTGTTGAATGCAAGGATACTTCCTCAAGGACGGAACGGGATCTTGAGGTATATACAAGGCTTGTGGTCGTGGCAAGCAGGTAGCCGCTCGGGTGCTCGTGAGCTAGGAGCTTTGAAGAGGAGAGAATGCGAGTGTGTGCTATCGCCAGGGTTAGTCTAAAGTCATGCCCAAGTTCGGTCAACAGGCACATGAACCACTACCGAATCACCGAAGCGACGAGCTGGTAACTATACGTAGGACCAGCATATTCAATCCAGAGATGGGTGCGAGTGAACTGTATGTCTGGCATTCACTATACTGCATCGGATCAGGCGACGATAAAACCGACGAGATCGCATTCAGCACTCGACTCGACGCGAAGGTCATGGTTCTACTGGGTCGATCGCCCGGCCCGTCCGTCACCCCACCCAGCCGAAGTGGTGTGGATCCATGATAGCAAAATCTTGCCGATGATGCCTTGTACTTTTCGAGCGGATGCTCAGTACTGAGATGTCAGGGTCATGATGTTATCTCGCAATCGCCCTCGCAAGAGAAGGTGATGCGAAAGTGCCTCGTCACAAGCCACACCCCGATGACCATTTATCGCATCACGTCCACAACACAGGACAGGAGGATGATTGGATCACTGCATTCCGTCAAAACCGGCTATTCTGCCACCATCGCCAACCCTCACAAGGCCTTGTCACAGAAGCGAGCCAATCGTGCAAAGTACAGACATTAGAAGCGACAGGCAACAGCCGCCGAGCTGGGCTCGACGAGGCAAGTGGCGCTGTGAGCTTGTCCTCTGAAGCGACGATCGCACTTCATGGCTAGTTAGTGATACGGCTAGTGTGTATTTGCTGCGCCAATGATGGTGGGCGAGGCGTATGATCCAAGTTATGACACCGTCGGTCGCGTCAACCTCGCGGGAAAGGCCATCTGCCGATCGGTGCAAAGGAATCAAGGTCGTCGTATGATAAGTCCCAGGGTCATGATAAGCCCAGCTTGGCTAAACTTAGCATCCGCATGTGCAGATCATGGCATCAGACTTCGTGTCGACCGCTGGCTGAACTGCCAGCCAACCACCAAGGGAGCTGTTGGGGGGCTGAGGACAGGTCTCGCTTGCAGGACCCTGGACAATGATATAGCACAATCGAGCTGACGGATTCTGAAGTGCCCTTTGGCTGGGTTGAAGGGTGACCCTGACAGAGCTTATCAGTTCAGCATGGGTTGTGTGTTGACAGCTGCAGCTGATACCGCGTCATCGTGCAGATCCACTTATCCTGAATTCACTAGCCCCTACAGACCGGCCTCGGCTCGCCCCGCTACAGAAGAGAGTGAGGGGAAGGAGAAAGAAGAGCCGGAGTCCATTGCCCTCAGCTGAGAAGAACAGAATAGATTAAATGCATGACGTGCGAGGGGGAATGGGCGATGCCTTGTGGTGGGTTAATTGGAGCAAGAACTGAAGTGTCGGAGAAGGAGCTGAAGGATAAATAAAGACCACTGGTGGTCCAAATCCTTTCTTTTTCCCTCTTGCTCTCGCCTTTTCCTTCCTCCTCTCTCCAACCTTTCAGCTTGCCAGCTATTTTCTTCCCATTAAACACACATTGACTAAACTCCAATTGTGAGATATACTGACTTACCCAATTGCCCCTTACCCAATTGCCCCATCATGGCTACCAAGATCCGACTTATCCCCAACCTAAACTACAAGAGGTCGGGCACAAAGTCCTACGTGCACCTCTTGCGCAAGTACCGCTTCAATACAACCAAAGAAGGCCCTTACTTCTTCGCTCCTACCCTTCACCAGGTTGGTCGGGTGTACCATGACAAGCCTATCGGTGGCAAGGCACATGTGCGGCGGGCGCTGAAGAAGCGCACGGTGGGCACTGACCAGGTCGGTGAAGTTAGTGCCGAGGACGTGCAGAACGATTCAGAGTACCTGGCTCAAGTGAGCATTGGTACACCTGGGCAGACTGTGAGTCTGGACTTTGACACCGGCTCAGCGGACTTGTGGGTAAGTCAAGCACCAGATCTACCTTATGTGTCCGGAGGAGTCAGCATCGCTGAGAAGAATCAAATAGGTCTGGTCCACTAAGCTCCCCTCTGCCACCATTTCCGAGTATGGCAAGAGCCACAACGTCTTCGACCCGTCCAAGTCGAGCACTTTCAAAGAGGAGGATGGTTACACGTGGCAGATCTCGTACGGCGACGGCTCCTCTGCGTCGGGTACGGTCGGCACCGACAACGTGGACATCGGCGGCATCACCATCAAGAACCAAGCCGTCGAGCTGGCCGAGAAGATGTCGACCGAGTTCGCCCAGGGTGCCGGTGACGGACTGCTGGGGTTGGCGTTTGGCAGCATCAACACCGTCCAGCCCAAGGCCGTCAAGACGCCCGTCGAGAACATGATCGCCCAGGATGACATTCCGGACTCGTCTGCTCTGTTCACGGCCAAGCTGGGCTCGTGGCGGGATGCCAACGAGCCCGACAAGGGCGAGTCCTTCTATACATTCGGGTTCATCGACGATGCCACCGTGCAATCGTCCGGGCAGGAGATCTCCTACACGTCTATCGACAACAGCGAAGGGTTCTGGATGTTTGAGTCTACTTCCGCCACGGTCAATGGAAAGACGATCACGCGCTCCGGAAACAAGGCGATCGCTGACACTGGCACAACGCTGGCGCTGGTGGACGATGAAACCTGCCAGGCTATTTACGATGCTATCCCGGGCGCGTACTATGACAACGAGACCCAAGGTTATATCTATCCCTCCGATACCACAGAGGACAACCTTCCCGTTGTTTCGTTTGCTGTCGGCGACAAGCAGTTCGTCGTGCAGAAGGAGGATCTCGGTTTCGCCGAAGCCAAGACTGGATATGTCTATGGTGGAATCCAGAGCCGTGGCGATATGACCTTTGACATCCTGGGAGACACCTTCTTGAAGGGTATCTATGCCGTAAGTTTCCTTGGCAACTGGATGCCTATATTCGACCCGTTGCATGATAGACTAACCAATGTCTTAGGTCTTCGATGTCGGCAACCTTCGCTTCGGAGCTGTCCAACGCAAGGAGCTGCAGCAGAACCTTTCCGTGCCCTCTGAGTAATCTTATTCGACAGAAAGTATGGGTATTTCAATGATATCATGTATGAGAAGCTTATGTATAATGAGAAATTGATTTCAGTGATAATTATCGGCAATGAGCTCTCTCTTCGTGAAACGTAACCGCAGAGTCAGAGCATTCACAGCACAATAATGTTGTCTATACTTAGTAAAGATGAATTCAGGAACCTGATTAGACACAAATGTGCCCGGAATTATTCGGTAATAAGGCCAGTCACCAGCACTTGCACCTTCAGGTGGCCCTCTTCAGGGTACGGCGTCCCGAAATCACGCTTGAGTTCAATGGTGCTTCGGGGCGTCTCGTACAGCTCCATCTCGAACCGCCGAACAAGCGCTGCGATGACAAGGTAGAGCTCCGCGTAGGCTAAACTGTCCGATTGTTAGAAAAGGAACGAGAACTCAAATGTGGAGAACTCACTTCAAGCCCACACACATCCGACTCCCTTTCGAGAAGTTCACTAGATAGCGATCCAGACGATTTCCAGCGGCAGCGGCCCGAATCCAGCGTTCCGGCTCAAAGGCATGCGGGTCAGGAAAGATGTTGGGATCCATGAGAATGAAGTAGTGCGTCTGACCAATTGGGGTCTGGATTGTGGCCTTTGTCAGTATGCGAGGTCCCGGCCTATACGATCGTTGCTCGACTTACTCCTGGTGGGATTGTGTGGCCTTTATATTGCAATGCCTCCGTGGGAACGACCCGGGGTGAGAAGCTAGCGATTCCTGTGGAAAGGCGCAGGGTCTCATTGACCACTCCAGCCTAGATGAGAGTTAAAGTTAGATCTCTCGACCAAGCAACACCCATCCCGAGGAATGTGATGCTTACCATGTATGGGAGCTTTTCCAGCTCGTTCCACGTAGGGCGGGAATCCGGCGTAGGCATCACCTGCTTGAGCTCCTCTCGCAGCTTGCTTAAGATCTCAGGCCTATCAATCAGATGATACATCCCGACAGCAAGGGATCTTGCAGTGGTCTCTGTCCCTCCAATGGTCAGTGCAAAGCCATCGTTCATCAGTCGCTGCGGTGTTTTGAGATGTTCCGGCACCTTGGGCCCCGCAATAGCTTCGATGAGTGTCGGTTTTTCGAGCTTGGAGGTTATATGACTAGCTTTCAATGCTGCCAAGCCACACTCATAGAGATCCTTCTTCTGGCGAGCTAATGCGTATGCGGGTGCGCTCACTTGGCGCAGCACGTTCAGCGGCAACGCGTCGATGAGGGTTTGGATCCACGGAAAGAAGTAGGTGAGATGTCCCATTTGGAATAGGGCGTTGATTCCGTCGCGCACACCAGCATTGAAGCCTTCTTGATCCAGGTTGCCTGGGTTGAAGCCAAATGCATATACATGGATCACGTCGGCGGTCAAGGCGGCAAATCCAGCATCCAAATGAACTACTTTGTGTGACTCGTAGGCGTTGCGTAGAGAATGTACGAGTTTGTCAAGACTTTCATGGATCAGGTACTCGATGTTGGAGATTGCCTGCTTCGAGAAGAACTTATCCAAAGGCGCACGGCGTGGGCGATGGTCCTCATCGGTGATGCTGGAGAACCCAGAGCCCTCCAGTCCGAAGCGGGCGACTGTGACTGGATCTTTCTCGCGCTTACGGGCTCTAGATGCGTAGATCTCTTCATAGTAATCTGGATCTCTAATATGTACTGTTCTCGGACCGACACGGACGATAGGACCTGACTCGGTTAGTAAAATCTGCCTCCAAGAAAGAGTTCATCCCGCTAAGGAGTTCGAAATCACCAACCATATACTTCATGCATCCTCTCAATCTCCCATATGAATAGCCCCCCTTTGATCACATTATAATAGAACTCGTAGGCATGGGTGATCGCAGCGAGCTTGGGACCAGGAATCTTGCGCAAGGGATGGAAGTATAGTCTGTATATACTCCTCGCTATAAAGTAAAGGGTGACACCGCAACCCAACGCTGCCAGGGTTGCCATTTTGTTGAACGTCTAGCACCCAATGACTGCCGACTACCAAAATGTCGAACAGGTCAGAAGTAAGAAGGATACCTGGGAAGAGCCGCAGATTTTTATAACGACGTGGAGGCGAGCATGCTCGATACGACTGTCCCCGCCCCTAAAAAGGCCGAGACTGCTAAGATTCATTAATCCGTGACCGCTGAGTGGCTCAAGGTCGGCTAGAAGCCACTTCTCATGCTAGGAGTTGCAGCGCCGAACCATGACAGGCGATAGAGATCATATCGATTGGGTAAAAGTTGCATTGCAAAAACCCCGCACTTGTTCCAAAGCGGCTCGATATTATACAGGTGCTTTCCAACCCTCATGATGGCTGTGCTACGCTATGCGATGTGCGTAATGTGGAGATGGTGAAATGCGGTCGGGCGGCCGATGAACAGTGTCTTGACCGCCTAGGAAATAGCATCAACGGTGCTCGACTCTCACACCATCGACTGTGTCCCTTCGTTTTCAACCCAGTGTTCAGGCGAAAAGACCCTTTGATCCATGTAGTACGCCATTTCGAGCATCAGTGAGCAGTGTGGACGGTCGTAAAATAGGTTCTTGATGCGAGACTGGACCCTCATCGAGCAACGGACAGTCACTACTTTATTTAGTGCCTCGGTTAGATCAATAACGGTCAATGCCCAAGGGAGCGTGGCGGGCTCGACCTACTCTTCTGGTATCCCACTCGCCTCCTAGCGCTGAGCTGGGTCTGCCACTAGTTGATAACAGCCTGTGTCTTTAGTGGTCTAATCGACGCTAATGACAAGTGGGATTTCCAATCGGTTGCCAATGTTGTGTAAGAGCGCCGTGCTGGTGATATACAGGTCTGTGGTTATCGAGCGTAAGTAAACTTTCAAGGTGTCTGCACAGAGCAGCGAAGAAATTTACTCCAGACACTACCGCAGGCCAAATCAAGTCCAGCAAGGCGATGCTTCCGCTACCAGAAAAGTGAATTGCTGCGAACGGGTGCCTGACATCTTGCCACTGGAAGATCTGTGCTGCTTGAAGTACTGAAATCGACTTTGGAATGGCGCCTCGGACAAGTTGGTCATCTCGTTAGACGTAGTTCCAAATTGATAGACAGGCTGACAGCAATGGGTTTGTGTCTCGCTGGAGCCGAGTATCAAGAGGAACACCTAATCCGCATCAATGTGTCATCATCTTCCGCAGCCTGAATGGTCAAGGCATCTATCTTCAATGGCAGCTGAGGAGCGTTAGGCGATATTCTTGTCGCTGTATGACATTTGAAGGGTTTAGCCGAGAAAACATGATTGACTGTGAGGATGTACTTGACGTGAAGTTTTTAGTTGATGAAGGTAGAATCAAAGTTTGAACCAAGGTGAGCTAGACTCCTGGGTGCTGAGTAGCTCCGGAAATGCAAGTACCCAGTCTTAAGGTTCCTGAGCATAAAGTGACTTTAAATGCCGAAAGATTGGCGTCAACAAGCAGCCCAAGCGCTAAACCCCACGACCTGACCTCCGGGCCACCTGCACCCCCACCTTCCTTCCTGTTTGAGCAGGGCAGATTAGCTTAGTTTAGGTTCATCAATTCCAACGGGCATCAAGTTTCAAGTCCATTCTCACAAACATCTTGTACCATACTCATTGTCTGACCCTGTCATAATCAAACAAAGATGGCTTGCACAACACATGTCGTGTATGCTTCCTCAAGGCTTCCATTCGATCTCTACCTTTTGTCTGATGTCATTCTCCTGAGCTCATATCTCAAGATGTGCTTTGTCTGCCCGACAGTCTGATTCTCAAAGCCTGCACCCAGTCAATCCTTGCACAACCTCATGGCGATCCAAATGCGTACCCGTGAGGTCAGAAGGTAGTATCGGCTGATCGGAAATCGACCAGACACAAGCTGAAGGCAGGGTCATAGGGAGTATCTCCAAAATTGTTTCCCTGCCAAAGTGGCAAGTCTCGCGGCCTATAACGATGATGTTTCAACATACTGCATGAATCGGCAAAAAATAAAGAGTTTCCTCGCTCCGAAGACAACCGATTGAGTCAAATATGGGCATATTCCAGAAATCCCAGGTGACAGACCCCAAGGGAAAGGGAGTAACCAGGTGTGTGATTCAAAAGTACAGTTCGCTAGTAAGGACTAAGAAATCCGAACTGACTCCTTGTTAGGACCAGGCTATCACTGGCAATACAATGCCAAGACAGACGGCTTAGCCACCCAAGACCTGCTTTGTGAAATTCACAATGTTTCTCCAAAGACCGCTCGCTTCCCTTCCATGGCTTGACCAGAAGCACACACGATCGGTCCAGTCAGGATCCAGTATGTTACTGGGAGGTATCGTACCTTTCGAACCCCGCCTCAATGCATCTAGCAGCACACGCGAGGAAGTGATTGAATGGATATGCATGGCCCTACTAGGAAACGTTGATTTGTTCAAGTGGTCAAAATCACTCCTTGCTGGGTCTCGAGCCTCTTTAGGGAACAAATCCAACAGCATCGGAAATTAGTCGACGTGATCAGCCCGGACTGCTATTTTCTCGACTCCCTTGCCTCTGAAATGTGTCGTTCTCAGTGCGGAATTTGCTGGTTTTGATTGGCCTACCCAGGGCTGTCGAATCCGCCTACCAAGCGCCTGTGCAACATAATCCTGAGCATTCCGGTGGACGGGAAGGCGAATTCTATTATTTAGCTAATCTTACCTAATTCCCTTGAGCACAACCACACCTGAGTCAATCAAGATCTCACGAGGAAGGAGCGTTGACGGTGTGATTGCTTAACCTTCTCCCTTTGTTGTCCAAGCAAGGGCGAGAGGAAAGAGATGAGATATAAGTGCACAAGTATCCCTCCGATGGGGGATGCTCAAGATTTCTTGTGCACTATCACATCGTCGTTCTAAGCTTGCTAGCTGCCCAGACTACGGAAATGAACCAAACATTTGAGAAAGACCCTCATGGCAAACAGTTGCCAGCAGACGTGACAGACGGCACAGTGGAAGAGACTTCGCTTGAAGATGAGGATGATGCAGTCCTTCGAGCAAATGGCCATGAGGCAGTCATGCCCAGGCAGTTCAACTGGATCTCTGCTTTAGGCCTGGGGTTTTCGATCACCAACTCATGGATCGGTTATCTTGTGCGTACTTTCGGGTACTCCGAATGGTGCTTCTGCTGACACTATACCTCGATGGACTAGAGCAATTTTGGACAAAACCTGAGCTATGTCGGTGTGCTAGGCTGTATAGTTTGCCTAGTGCTCGGGTGGGCGATTCAGCTTGTCATCACCCTGGGACTCGCTGAATTGGCGTCAGCATTCCCCGTAAGGAGAAAATCCAAGCTTGCATAGAGCTATTGCTAACTCTGCAGCAGTCTAGCGGAGGTCAATACCACTTCTGTTACATTCTCAGTTCCAAGAGTACCCGAAAGTATAATGCTTACATCGTGGGCTGGCTCTCAGTGTTAGCCTGGTGGTCGGCAACGTATGATGCTCGCCTGTCAGGATTGTGGACTATACTGACACTCTTCTAGATGCTCAGGTATCTCACTTGGCGCGATTTTAATCCAGGGGATTGTGTCTTACTATATCCCGGGTTATGAGGCAACTCAATGGCGTACTTACTTGATCTTCCTTGCAATCGCAGTCTCAACCCGTAAGTCCTGTTACTTGTTTCCTCCGATTGTGTCATACTAAAATCTTACCAGTGATCCCGCTGTTTGTGTCACCGACTAAGATGTCATGGGTGACGCAGTTGACGCTCTTTCTAACCTTGGCCGGGTACCTTGTTTATCTCATCACCGCTCTAGGAATGCACGACCACGTACAGGGTAAGTCATTTGCAGTGGCATCGAATGAGGCAAACAGCGGGTGGAACAGTGGTGCGGCCTGGTTGCTTGCCATAAGCAATGCCATGTATGCATTTGCTTCCGCAGACGGCGGTAAGAATAGCAACTTTCACGGTTACGATCATTGTTGACTTTAACAGCCATACACATCTCTGAGGAGATACCACGACCAGGGCGACGTGTCCCGCAAATCATGATTATGACAGAAGTCATTGGTATCGTAACCAGCCTTACGATGATTGTGGTTCTTCTGTACTTTGGCCATGATTATGAAGCCATCCGAGACTCTCCACTTCCCAGTCTCGAATTGGTTTCTCAAGTGTCAGTTTGCTACTAGTTCTTTTTTCGCGGGCGCTCTGACCTTCATCAACAGGACTGGAAGTCGAAACGCCACCCTCGGTCTACTCATTTTGCTTTGGGCAATCTATGCTTGTATGACAGGCCACTGATTCCCCTCACTATACTTTGATCGAGAGCTAATCCAGTGAAGCATGTATACCACCGCAGTGGGTGACCTCTGGTCGGATTGCCTGGGCACTGGCTCGCGATGTAAGTGCATGCAGCATGGATACGAGCACGGTCTCAAGCCAACGAGTACTGATCGTTTCCATAGGGCGGCACACCCTTTCCAGAATATTTTACCAAAATCAGCCCGAAACTTGACTTCCCCGTGCGTACTACGCTTGCTTCCTTCGGGTTCTGCTCCATCTACGGCCTCCTCTACCTCGCGTCCACCACGGCTTTCAACTCGACCATTAATGCCGCCGTCCTCTTCCTCAATTTGACATACATTATTCCCCAAGGGTTGCTTCTGTTACGAGGTCGGTCATATCTTCCAAAGCGATATTTCGATCTCTCCTGGGTTGGCTATATTTGCAATATCTTCTCGGTGATCTGGCTATTTTTCCAAGTTGCCTTGAACTGCATGCCCCCGCACCTTCCTGTCACTTTGCAGTCTATGAACTATAACTCGGTGGTACTGACCGGTGTCTTTGTGATTGTGAATGTTCTTTGGTTTGTTGCTGGCAGGCATACTTTCCAAGGACCCCAGATTGACGCGCATGCGCTGCGCCTGGGAGGGCTTTGAGCGGGGGTGGAAAGCGAGCTGATCGCGTCGCTGATACCAGCTCTGTGGCTGCGCGTGGCGCGCACACTAAGCCAGCCATCATCTTTCGGCTCATGCTACTACTCATGTTAGCTATCAGCACCAGACAGTTGTCTCCTTACTGACGCCCTCTTCATTTTGACACCCATCTTGGCTTGTCCGGATTGTCCTTGAACATCTCTCTATCCTAAACACTAGCCCATGCGACATTTTAAGGCTGAAGGTCTAGAACACGCATTGACTGCCGCAGCAAAGGATGGCTGAACGCCGATCTAGTAGCGCCTAGTCACCTTGCCAATGGTCATCTCGAAGCCTCTGTGGTTTTCAGCCACGCAAACCTTGTATTCATCTTGCCTGGCGATAATGTGATATGATGTGATATGACAGGTCGATGGGGCTCAATTCTCTATCTATAGTATCTATGGATGCCTGTGTTAATGGTGTCGAAGTACGTACTTTTGCCTAGTCTCCAAACCTTCCAACGGATTAGGAAAGAGGTGATTGAGACCTACAGTGACTTCCTCCACCGCTCTTGGATGAGCCATTAACTCCGAGAAAGTGGCGGTTCCTCATCACTCATCACTTTCTGATCAGATCACATCTCTAATAGGGGGCTATCTCATTCACCCCCTCATCCAGATCCTCTCGGCATTGGAGGTCACCCCTCCTGAGGTCTCCATTCACCAGCTGCTAAGCATACATGACAGGCTGATGGAAGGCTACTACTCCGTTGTCTCTCATGCTAAAAAGCTCACTAGGCTCAGATCCCTGTCGGTTTGCTCCGGGTTTGCCGGATTGGCTGGATTGGGTTATCCCGCCCAATCTATCAGAATGTTTGCTATGCTGCCATCGAAGGGAGAGCGGAAATGAAATCTATCGTCTTGTGGGGGTGTAATACCTCTGATTACTGCTACCTGGGGTATGAGAGAATGAGCCAAGCGATTTGTGGATGTAAGTTGGGAGGATTGGGGGCAGACGCGGTTACTAACTTAGGTATCTCGTCCACCCGTTCCTTTGTCCATCCCGGTCGATTTATAACTAGTCAGTCTGGTTTCTAATTCTGACTCTCTAGCGTCGACACCCACACATGCTGATAGCCAGCACACAATATCGCTCCCTAGCTCACTAGCGATGCCAATCTCTCTCGAGCATCCTGGGGAAGACGCTTTTCAACTAGTTCCGAGTTTTGTTTGACGGATGCGCTGCTGCCAACAGGGTGTGAATCATCATACCACACTACACACTGAGCGATCCTCTTCAGCGACTTCCAACCAGAATTATCATATCTTTTCGCTGAGACTAGAAATCACCCATACTTCTAGTCGACCGCCAGATTCCAGTCTCTTTGCACGATGTCCGACCATAGGCTCTTATTGGCCTGTGTGAATCAAGCGACACCTTTCAAATCTCCAACAAAGCAGACACCCAGCATCGAGCATAGTCAAGACTCCAGACGTCGAACTGCCACTTATGGGCAGGGTACTGGCACTGTATGGACCCGGAGGATCTCGTTGTCGTCTTCATGTTACTCAGCGGACCACTTGCGAAGAATGACGATGCTATCATGAGTGACGGCAAAAATGGCTATGCCGATGCCTATAGAACCTGAGAAACGGTCGCAGAGTCTGTTTACCCCTTAAGTGGATTCTTTGCTCTCCGGGGCAGTCCGGCGAAAGGGCGAAGAATCTGTTGGCTCTTACGTTCAAAGAGATTATAACTCCCTGACCTTCCAACTCGACGAACAGGCTTTTGGACGTCCTTTTGAGATCCAGAGTACTTGACCAGAACCAATCGACTATGCTTTCACTCGATGACGTGCTTTCAGCCGGTGAATTATCGTCTTGTTGGGATACTTTGCTTGAGCTGCCTAATCTATGCTTCACCTTCGGTGCGTTACAACCACAACAGCTCAGCCGTCACTGCCGCTTTTGGTGCTATCATAACGAGCTGCTCAATGACGGGGTGGAAATAGGTTGCAGTGTGGCTGCTCGAGTGGGCAGGGGATGCTGTGAGCATCTGCCTTCCTGTAATGATTGTCTCGAATTCCTCGGCCCAGCAAGGAAGATGTTCGCTCAATCCTGATAATTCGAGAATTGCGGGTCACAGGTATTGGGCGTCGGGCGTATAATTACCCAATGTATTTTTTCTGCAGCGAGCTGACATGATTCTGTGACGGTCGATGCGTTCCGAGCTTTCTGACCACAGTGCACCATGTTGACACCGAGGGAAGACTCGCGTAAGAACCATGAAAGGAGGATAAGCTGATGAGCTAATCCTTCACTTCTACACTTATACTAAGAGCCGACCTGATTGATCGATGGCTGTGTCTGCAGTACCGGTGGTATAGGATCTATGCGATCGTCTTCGATTGTCATGTCATCCAGCACTATGCTTACCAGTGAATTTATCACGTCAACCACGAAACAACCTGCGGATTACAAGAAGATTCTAGGAAGCCAAGAAGGGGAAGGCAGTTCAATTGAATCGGGAATATCGATCGTGGCCATTACCTGGTATCAAGCGGATTGACGAACTTCCACGATGCACATAGAGTGGCAAGCCTTGATGAGGCAGGAAATTGACAAGAGAAACTGAGTACACTTGTTGAATTCTAGCACATCTCCAAAATTTTTCCGTGTCACTTCGAGTGATCTTATATTCCACCATAGTGGCAGTAATGATGCTTTGTGACCAGTCTAAGAAGTTAGTCTGCAAGAACCTCACCTTTGACTTAATCCCAGATCTGTATTTTCATGCTTATCTACGCGCATCTGAATCAAGGTCACTCAAAACTGGATGCATTCGCTGCCACGTCTGATGTATCTGACCTATCCTTGTACTGTACCATGCAAATGCGTCACCGCAGTGATATCCATATTGCAGAGCTTAGCCGGGTCCTCAGTGGTGCCTTCTCCGCGCTATAGAGTGTTCTCGAGGTTCCCTCACGACCTCTCTGAAGCAGTTGGATCATTGGTTTATCACCCCGGCCTTGATCAGCCAATCCCCTAAAGTCATAACATCAGCTCTCCAGCCCAAGAGTCAGATTCCAGGTACTCATGATCACCACAGATGCTCGATTTGCAGCTCATTTCTTCACCACAGCTCCGGGAATGATTGGCATAGCGCACACAGAGAGCTCAGCGGTACCGACCATCATGGCGGACAGCCAAATCCTTCACCTGCGAATATGTCCCCTCCTATTCAGCACGGGTGCGAGTTCAGACGGTACATCTATCAAATCATCACCCTGCAGGCTGTTATCACACAGCCACAGCAGAAGCGGCAACAGTCTACAACCACCTAGACTCACGCTGCACCGTGGTTGAGGCCTTCGGACTGAGTGTCAAGGTGAGAGATCGGTTCAACTAGTTGTTGCTAAATTCCACAAAAGCCTTCATGCTCCTTCATCGCAAAGATAACCCCCACCTTCGAGAATCTAGCCCTCCAATACCATAGGCAATCAACACGATGCCCCTGCTCCTGATTCGATCAATCCGCGTTCATCGTTCCTCTGGGACAGCGACGGTACCTCCATCCAAGCACGAGTCCACATACTACACATCATGTGAGAATTTTAGAATACCATGCCCTCGAGGAGCACATTTCTACCTTTCGTTCGAGAACACTTGCAAGCGAATTTCTTACCACCACCAGTCCTCTTCCTCGTGGATCGAGACACACAAAACTCGTGGGTCAATGTTGACCAGAACCGATAACGTTTTGGCATTATTATCTCAATGTACAGTACCGACACCCAGGGCGACGAGCCAGAAGCACGAATGCAGCGTTTGTGCTGATGCCGCTGACAATATTGACCATAGGACGGACAATAGAGGCAAGAGAGAGGAAAAGTTCTGATCGGATGAGAACACACTCTTCATGTTCTATCAGACTGTCTACGATGAAGTTGGAGTTTTTCGACTCCCCAGAGCATCTACCTCTGGTTTTCGGTACATCCCAGACTACGTCAAGATCGGATATCGTCACTATGTTCCACTTCCAGCGCGCTTGGAAGGCTATCGGAAGTGATCCAAGGCTACTTGATGGAGGCACAAATGGGCTGGACGTTGATGCTTGGACTGTTTGAACGCTGACGAGATGATCAAATGCTTCCAAACAATGGGCCACCTATGTCTGTGCTGAGAGTATCTGCGATAATCGATATATTGGATGTTTCGAAAACCCCAAAGCTTCGAACATGAGAATTAGGGATTGCAACGACAAGAGTATATACGAATCTTCTGACGAGGTAAGGCTCTTGACTCTCAAGCCAGAGCTCACTCTCATCTACATCGACATACGATCTGTACGGTCCACGGTACAAAGTGTGTTCTTCAGCACTTCAACCATCGAACACCCTCGAGTATACAACCAGGTATACACAATCTCCATCTACTTCTCGAAGCTCACCAACAACCGCGACAATCACAAGCATCGAACAGAATATACTCCGAGCAACTCAACACATTCCGCCCCATCCAAATCGCAATCTGATTGCCACCTCTCACTAACCTGAAACACAGCTCCAACACCATTCTTTGCCACCAAGGTCAACCACTCACTCTTGCATCAGCATTGAAAACCATTGGCCAAGCCGTCGTTCGATTCTAGAACTCACCACCCCATTTGCCCCCCCCCCCCCCCCCAACTTCATCCGCACCCACAAAAAGGGGGAAAGCAAAAGAAAACAAATATGGCACATCTTAGCTACCCACAACCCCTCCCCTTACAACATCAATATTCACAGCACAGTATAACACAAAAGCCCAACGTTGAACCTTAGATCAAGGGTAAGATAATGCAGATATAAGACAAAATACCCCAATCCGGAAACCCCCGCCTCAACCCTGATAGGGCATCAGATATAAGACATACATCCTCACGTCTAGCTAGGTACCAGGTAGTATGGAGCAAAGAAAAAAAAAATCAAACCCCCATAAGCAAACGCCAAGCGACCCCCTAGAGCAATTAGTCAACCAAGATAACGTAGGTAACACCAAGGTGTTTCGATCTAGCAACCAGCGGGACAGCACAGTGAAGAAGCGATGTCCATCATCCG